TACTAATGTAAGATTGGAAGTTATTCAGAGGTAACTCTGTGGTGTTTCCGTAGGTGGCTGGGCGATTCTGCAAGTCCCACGACATCCTCAACTTGTCGGGAGCACATTGGAGGTGACATGTCGCGTCAGAGGGAGCCCCCGACTTGAAGAGATTATTTTGTACAAAGATGGCGTTGAAGTAATGAGACAAAACGGTCACAAGCCAGATTTCTATCTGACCAACTTGAGCCTTGAGGACCTAGGAGTATATTCTTGCAGGGCTTCCTGGGATGTGAGGAGACAAACACTCTCTGTCATTTCTGCTGGCGCTCATGTACAGATCTTAGGTGAGATTACACTGAATTGTGTGTTCTTATCTTAGGTGTGGTGTAGTTAAAGGAATGACAACATGCGAATCAAGATAATATGCTTAGAAGTGCTTCCATCTTTACACCTAGTGCTAAACTTGGTGTCTACCGACCTTCTCCTTTAATGCTGAGCATGAAAGCCCATATTTCCCACAATGTTAAGTTATTCCTGTTAGTACAACTGAACATAAATATTCTTAGCCTCATGACCTACCACTTGTTTTTTTCCTTAAATTAAATCAATGTCTTCTGTCACAGAGGTTCTGTCACAGCCAATTTTGGAGATCATCCCCAACTATGATACTCAGCTAAAGAGGATGAAGCTCATTTGCCATGTGCAGTACAACGCCCCTGCTCCTGCCCCTCCGATAGACTTCTATTTCTACAAAAATAACAGGCGACTGGGACCTGCAACCTCTGACAACTATAATGTAGTGAAACAGACTCCAGGGCTGTACAGCTGCAAGGCCAGGGTGCCTCAGTTGGGCCTCTCGAAGTCCAGTGAACCCAAAAACTTTGGACAAATAAGAGGTATTTAAATTTTAATTTACCCCAGCATTTGTTCTACACCGATAAGCCCCAAAGTTCCTAATGGATTGCTAAAAATGTGATACTTTGTGTCTAACAGTATTTCGCCTTGCTTCAGCCACCGATGACTTCCCACCTGCTGCTGCTTCACTACCAACCTCCCCTAACCTCTCCTCTCACCAGCCGATCCAGTTCACTCCAGTAAAGAGCACACCATCACAAGCGCCTCCACTGACTTCACAAGCAGTCCCAACCACTTTGCTGACTACAGACCAGGTTTTTAACTCAGCTACAACTCAAGATCAGGCAAATCCATTTGAGGAATCCGATGACATGTCTGGGGACTCTGCAGATTCTCTTTGATAACTTAGCATACATTACACACAATCTCTCTACTAATCACGCTGGGTCATTGTCACACTTCTGTATTTAACTGTGCAATTTTTCATCTTTTGTATTTGTACTTTGTACAACTAGAAATCTCATATATGAGGTCCTGCACCTGAAATTCTGATATCTCCAGTTAACAAACATCAAGCGCTGTACCAGAATTGTTGGAGATATCTAACACATACATGTTAAAGTCAAATAAAGCATTTCACAAAATGTTATGTACAAACAGATGAAGAAAAATTGTGTTGTTGGGGAGGACTGTGCAACACATCAGTCCAAAACCTCCCACAGGAGGGTCAGATAACAGGTGACTGTGGG